TATCACACTGTGAAGTGTGATAATAGGCTGATACTCACTTTTAATGAAATGTAACCAAATATCTGGGCACTCTGTTTTAGCAGTAAATAAAGTGGGGAGTGGGAGATCTGCATGCCCCCCAAGTACTTCACTCTCCCCTTGAAACTTAAGGGTGCCCCCACAGGAGAAAGAGGAAACTATCACAAATACAGGTTCACAAACCAATTCAAAAATTTAACTGAAATAACAAATTCTGTCACACAAGATAAATGATTGAAGCTTGGAGAGGACAAGAAAATTTTTGTGTCCCATTTTCTAGCAAATGTGCAATAAATATTTGTTGAAATATGTATTTAAACACCAGGTTTTCTTCAGTTCCTTTCTTGCTGTCATAGATTTCCCCAGAAGAGTAAGCACTTCTAAAGTCTAGGAAGGAAACAGTAAGCCTGGCAAATGAACAAACCAGACCATTCTCCACTCAGCATGTGGGACAACATGGACTAGACCGAGGCATTTTACTCACAGTAAGAGTGCAGAGATGAACCACAGAACCCGAGTGAGAGAGCATACACTTTTAACCTCCTAAAAATCCTTGGACAAAAATGACTTGGCTTTGCTATACGGCAAGGCACATTAATGTTCCTTGTTCACAGAGGCAATGAATGACTTTGGAAAGGATTCCTGGGCTGAAGTTTATTCCTTGGTTACTTAGGACAATACTAAATATTTTGCAAAACTTGCAATGGCCAACAACAGTATTACAATAACCTATCCAATGAGAAGCAAAGTTATCTGTCTCTGAATCTAGTCCACAGTCGTTTGCTAAATATCCAAAAAGGGGATGAAATATAATCCAGTTCAAATGTTGCGTGTGTGAGACATTAAAAACTTTCCTTGGATTACATCTTCATAACAGAAATTGCAAATCATAACAAAATGGAAATGATTCCCTAAAGATTATTTTGGGTAACAAATGGTGCTCTCTTTCTAAAGTTACGTAATTCCAGGGACACCACCAGGTACAAATAATGGACGCGAAACCCCACCGCCGGACTTTTCAAGCAAATAGGCACCCGATTCATTCCTCCTCTCCAGCAATCTGCGTGCAGCCCACTACTCGCGCCGGTGCAGGGATGGCAGCGACGGCCTCCCATCACCCTGCAGCCCATCTCCCCGCTCGGCCTCCCCCCGCTGGGGCGCACGCAGGGCCGAGAGCAAGCCCCGGCAACGCTCACAGGCCGGCTCGTGTGAGCAAAGGGAAGGAAATGACACAGGCAGGAAAAAAAAGCAAATCAAGGAAAAGGCACAACAGCAACTGGGCCTGCACCAGTCCCAGCCCCGGCCCCACACTGCGCCCTCGCTCCTCGCCCTCCGGCTCGCGGCGCGGCTCGCCCGGGTCGGC